TTAAACTTCTTTTGAAAATGCTAGTTCTCTGGTTGTCATGCTGATCCATTTGCTTCAGTTCTTCGAGGCGCTGACCCAGAACAAGTATGGGAAGGAGGACTTGTTCCAGGTTCAGCCAGCATAGCAAGCAGGACACTAAGCGTACTCGGGAGACACCAGCAACACACACCAGCTCCTCACAATGGATTTGCTGGGTGACAGACATGTAAGCTGCGGAAAGCTTCGGTTAAGTTATTTCGGGATTCGGATCCGAAATTCGGTTCAGGGTTTTCGGATTGGGACGAAATCCGAATTTTCGTTAGTTTCGGATGAGTTTAGGAATATCCGTTGCGAATACCACAGAAAGCCGTATACAGATATTAATACTAAAGCTGAGGCTCCCGGACCTGAACGGCATTCGGGGTCCGAATTTTGGAATTGCATTCGGGAGCCCCCCAAATGCCATTCGGGTCTGGGAGCCTTAGCTTTAGTAATATATGTATATGACTCCCAGACCCGAATGGCATTCAGGATCCAAATTTCCAAAAATTGTTTTGGGGAGCTCCTAAATGCCATTCGGGTCTGGGAGCCTTAGCTTTAGTAATATATGTATATGACTCCCAGACCCGAATGGCTTTTGGGAGCTCTCCAAAACAATTTTTGGAAATTTGGATCCTGAATGCCATTCGGGTCTGGGAGCCATATACATATATGACTAAAGCTGAGGCTCCCAGACCCAAATGGCATTTGGGAGCTCCCCAATACAATTTGGAAATTCGGATCCCAAATGCCATTTGGGTCTGGGAGCTTCAGCTTTAGTATTATACGTATATACTGTATATGGCTCCCATGTTGCCGTAACGAAAATTCCTGTTCAGACCCATTCGGATGCATTAAACCGAAAAACACATCCGATTGGCCAGAAAAGTCACATGTCACATCAGTTTCATTTTTGAACGAAATTCGGACGGGATCCGAAATTTGGAAATTGAAATTCGGATGCATTGGGAAATTTGGATGTGTCCGAATTTCGGAAAATTCGAAATGAAACAAATCACACGCGACTAACTGCCACCTTGCCCTCTAAAGTCAAAATGGCAGCGCCTGTGTAAAGCGCCTCCCTCCTTCCTTCACCAATCCCAGATACTCCCTGCCGCTCCTGCCTTCATTACGGCCAGTACTGCTGTCCTTGGTGTTGGCTGGTCACTAGACCCAAGCACATGGGAGGAGGTCCGAGGGCTACTTGGCTGTATCCCATTGGAAACGCGCGACAAAAACGCCCCAAAGAAGCTCCTGTACTTCTTTGGGCGTAGGACGTTTTGTAGCGCGTATATATGGCCTGTAATACGCCCAGGTGTGAACCGTACCCATAGGAAATAATGGGATTTCGGTGTTTGAGCGTTTTGCAGAGCGCAGGAGCGCGCCACAAAACGCCCAGGTGTAAACTTTGCCCTCAGTGGGCGACGTGACTTTGTTTATGTAATGTCTATCTAAAGCCAATACTTTTTTTCGTCTCTGTGTGGAATTTTTGTTTACTCTCTGTCAGGATTGTATCGCTCTCGGTGTCACCGCTCTTAGATTGACTCTCTGTCAGGATTGTATCGCTCTCGGTGTCACCGCTCTTAGATTGGCCCTCTGTCAGGATTGTATCGCTCTCGGTGTCACCGCTCTTAGATTGGCCCTCTGTCAGGATTGTATCGCTCTCGGTGTCACCGCTCTTAGATTGAAAAGGAGATCTCCCAGTGGGGAAGGATTATCTTTTAGGGGCTGTTCGTTTTTATCTTATTATTTTTGGATTGAGTTCTGCTGTAATGTTGCCTGCAGACGCTGTGCGTGCGCAGAGCCCCGAGTCTTCTTTATTACAAACCGATCGTATTATAAATGGCCCCAGTGAAGGGTGTAGATGTTGCTACATCTTGGCTTCCATTTGTATTAGGGATTCACTGATACCGGTTTTTCAGTATCCAGGACCAGTACCAATAATTTTTCCCCGGTACTTGCCGATACCGAATACCGATACCGGAAGTCCCATTAAGGATTCTGGGTGACGCGTAATGATGAGCGTCACCAGGTGGCGAGGAAGCATGGAGCTGGCGTTCTTACCAATCAGGAAGCCGGGGGGTGGATAATGACTCGCCGCCAGGCTTCCTGGTTGGCCAGCTTCCTGACCAATGAGGAAGCCGGGCGGCGTGTCATTAAAGGACAAACTATGGGCTCAGGGCTTTTCCCCATAGTTCACCTAAGGGTCACGGAAGAACACAAACTAGCTCAGTATACCGCGAGCTACAGCTCGCGGTATACTGAGACGCCGCAGCCGAAATGAGTGAAAATCGCTCGCCTCATAGTTCTCCTTTTAAGTCCCGATGAAGGGGGAGTTTTGAGCCCCTAAAACACATTAATTTATCAAAACTGGAGCAAACAGAATCTGGAGCAGTTTCCCATGGCAACCAATCAGCTTCTCTCTTGAGTTTGCTCAGGTAAGATTAGAAAATCAGAGAGAGAAGCTGATTGGCCGCAGTGCAAATCTGCTCCACATTTTGTCTGCCCCCCATTGGCTTTTTCTCGTTATGCGCAATAAGACTTACTGGACTCATACCAGATGTGTGGGGCTCTCGTCCTTTCTACATTATTTTCTAATAAATATTAGACGTGTGCGATTTTTTGTTTCTTTCTGAATCAAAATTAGGACACATCTGAATTTCCGAAATCACAATGCATCCGAATCCGAATTTTGGTTTCCGAATTTCGGATCCCATCCGAATTCTGTTCAAAAAACAAAACTGATGTGACATGTGACTTTTCTGGCCAATCAGATGTGTTTTTCGGTATAATGCATCCGAATGGGTCTGAATGCGAATTTTCGTTACGGCAACATTTTGGTCTGGGAGCCATATACAGTATAAATGGCAGACCCAAATGGCATTCAGGAGCTCCCCAATGCAATTCAAAAATTCGGATCCGGAATGCCATTCGGGTCTGGGGGCCTCGGCTTTAGTATTAAAGGAGAACTATGAGGGGAGTGCTTTTCACTCACCTCATAGTTCTAGCCGACCTGTGACAATGAGACTGTCACAGGTCGGCTCAGTAGATCTGGAGGTGAGCGAACACATACCGGGTTCGCTCACCTCTCGATCCTGTCACGGCTCTCTGCCGTGACAGGGGGAGGGGCTGGATTCCCCTCTCCGATCCTCCAGCGCTGACTGGCGGAACGGACGGGGGAGGGGTACAGCTGGCTCTGCCTCTAGATAGGCAGAGCCAGCTGTCACTCACGCAGCTGGGCGGATCCCGTCATCTAAGTCGGGATCCGATCCGGCTGCGGCGTCTCAGTATATAGGGAGCTGTAGCTCGTGGTATACTGAGCTTAGGGTGACGGGAGGACGCTAGTTTGTGTCCTCCCGTTACCCTAAGGAGAACTATGGGGAAAAACACTGACCCCAAAGTTCTCCTTTTAATATCTGTATACGGTTTTCTTTTGGTATTCGCAACGAATATTCGCAAACTCGTCTGAAACTAACGAAATTCGGTTTTCGTACGAAACCCGAACCAAAATTAATTTCGGATCCGAATCCCGAAATAACCGAACCAAATTTTTCCGCAGCTTGCATGTCTAATAAATATATCACTTAATGCTAATAAGATGGTCAATGTATGTTACTTCTCCCTCCCTTGAAGGCCACTAAACCACTTCCATCTTTCTCTTGTGATGCACAATAAAGTCATACTGGCCTCATAGCAGTTTTCTAAATGCTTCTGACTATTCTGGGGACCCCTCTGGATACCCCATGTGATGGAGAGAGATGCCTCGGAGAAGCTGGTGGTGATGATGATGATGATGATGATGCTGGTGATGATGGAGGTGGTGATGGTGATGGAGGTGGTGATGATGATGGAGGTGGTGATGATGATGGAGGTGGTGATGGAGGTGGTGATGATGATGATGGAGGTGGTGATGATGATGATGGTGGTGATGATGATGATGATGGAGGTGGTGATGATGATGGAGGCGGTGATGATGATGGAGGCGGTGATGATGATGGAGGTGGTGATGATGATGGAGGTGGTGATGATGATGGAGGTGGTGATGATGATGGAGGTGGTGGTGATAATAATGCTGGAGGTGGTGATGATAATAATGCTGGTGGAGGTGATGGTGATGATGAAGGAGGTGATGCTGGTGGTGATGATGGAGGTGGTGATGATGATGATGGAGGTGGTGGTGATGATGATGGTGTTGGTGATGATGATAACAATAATGATGCTGGTGTTGATGATAATGCTGGTGGTGGGAATATAGGGCTTGAACAGGGTTTTCAACCTGTCTTATCTATTGCCGGCCTCTATCTTTGGGCAGTGTAGGTGTAAAGCCGGCCTCTATCTTTGGGCAGTGTAGGTGTGAAGCCGGCCTCTATCTTTGGGCAGTGTAGGCGTGAAGCCGGCCTCTATGTTTGGGCAGCGTAGGTGTGAAGGCGGCCTCTGTCTATGGGCAGTGTAGGTGTGCAGCTGGCCTCTATCTTTGGGCAGTGTAGGTGTGAAGCCGGCCTCTATCTTTGGGCAGTGTAGGTGTGAAGCCGGCCTCTATCTTTGGGCAGCGTAGGTGTGTAGCCGACCTCTATCTTTGGGCAGTGTAGGTGTGAAGCCGACCTCTATCTTTGGGCAGTGTAGGTGTGAAGCCGGCCTCTATCTTTGGGCAGAGTAGGTGTGAAGCCGGCCTCTATCTTTGGGCAGCGTAGGTGTGAAGCCGGCCTCTATCTTTGATTCTTCTAATAGAATCAGAAATGAATGATCAGTTGGCCCCTTGGTGCTACGCTCACGATCCCTTTGTAGTCCCCGAGGATTGGTTTGAGAAATGCTACTGGGAAGGTTTGGGACGAATGGAATATTCCCGGGTATGTATGAGGAACAGACGGGGGACCATTGTGACAATGAATGCTGACTCGCAATACTTTGTGTCTTCCAGAACTCGATCCGCCACAACCTGTCTCTCAACAAGTGCTTCAGGAAAGTGCCGCGGCCCAGAGACGACCCGGGGAAGGTCAGTATAAACTCTAGACAATGGGGGGAGGGGGTGAGAAGTGGAGGTCAGGTGTCCCACGTCAATGGCTACAATGCAATGTACCTTTCTGTAGATCAGTATTGTTGGCCGTGGCTGAGGTATTCATGCCGTGTGTGCTGTAGCCAGGAGCAGATCATTGTACACCGGCTGCCACTACACTGAACAGCACTTAGTAGACGTGTTGAGACCTATGGAGGGTTGAAAGCCTAGAGGTCAATAAAGGAAGAAGACAGGATGTCATTATTGTATTATATAACGTGTATGTCAGGTCAGAAGTGACTCTTCTAGTTGCGCATAGCGAGGGGAAGGATGGTCTGGTTTTGTAAGCAAACCATTTGGCCCCCCAAAACCTTTACACGGGATGTGCATAGATAGCACTGTGTGAGCCATGACCATGACGTGTATTGTAGCTCCCACATGGGGGTTTCCTTTGCTCCCAGCAGCTGAATGGAATGGGGGTAAAAGATGGTAATGTGCAGCACAGTGGCTTAGCGGTTAGCACTTCTGCCTTGCAGCACTGGGGGTCCTTGGTTCAAACCCCAACCAAGGCACTATCTGCATGGCGATTGCATTTTCTCCCTGTGCCTGTGCGGGTTTCCACTCAAAGACATGTCGGTAGGTAAGTTGGCCCTAGTATGTGTATGTGAGGTGGGGACCTCAGATCCAGTGACGTGACGTGCCTTTTGTGCTGGGTGAGGCGTCCTCCAGCCTGCCATAGCTCCACCCCTGTCTCGCCAAACCCCGCCCTGTCCAGCAGAAGCTCCACCCCCCAGCTCGGTAACAAGCTTTGTGGGGAGGAGGAAGGGAGGAGCCTCCCTGTCCCTCACTGGTGAGGCATCGAGATGTCCACACTGTTGGGTTTTTTCCCCCCGTTTTTTGGACCAGTTTGGACCAGTGGCGCTTTTGCCATCCACAGATAGGAACCTCCCTGTCCCTCACTTGCTCGTCACTGGTGAGGCATCGAGATCGATGTCCTCACTGGTTTTTTTTTTGATTGGACAGCTTGGACCAATGGCGCTTTGCCATTGGTCCAAACAATCCACAGAGCTCATGCCTCTAACACAGAGTAGAGGCTGTTGCAGCTCTGGCCTCACTATGTTAGGTTACACAAGCAGTGGGGAAGCCCGCTGCGGTGTAACCTAACTACCTGTCAAAAGCCAGATGCAGCGCTGCCTGTAATTAACAAGCAACGCTCCGTCCATGACAGGTTACACAGCGGGGAGGCTTTTCCTGCTCTGTAACCTGATAGAAGCCAATCTGAATGGAGAAAAAGATGTCAGCTTCAGACTTGAAGCTGACAGCTTTTTCCTCCATAATACTAGGTGAGGCTCTGTCTCCCCTGACAGCACGTCCCTGCTCAGATTGTAAACTCCTTGAGGGCGCGGACTGATGTAAATTATTGGCTCTATATACACTCCTTATAACAATAATTTGCATCTGGAAAGGGGGAATAAAGTGAACTCTGAGTGGTCAAAGCACAGACAAGACGTCATGCTCCGTACACACCTATCTAAACAGATGTAACGCATGCTGATCCCCTTTGAATATCCCTCCTTCAGATTAGCTCTTCAGATTAGGCTTATAAGAGAAATCAGTATACGGGATTTGGAAGGATTGCAGGGAAGCACGCGGGAGAAGGAATGATGAAAGTCTAATTGATGCAAATTTTGACCTTTGTCCCCCCAGGGATCATATTGGATGATTGACAGCTGTCCAAAAGAAGACGTAGCCCTGCCCCGCAGGAAGAGGCCACACCCTGATGATGAGGTAATGAGTTACAGCGCCATCACTTTGGCTCCACCCACACATCAATTCTTACGGAAAGAAAGAAAATCTGGAGTTCATATTCTAGGAGCACTCCATGCAGACAGTCACCTGGGCATGTTGGAATTTTGACAACAGAACACAAGGAGATGACCGTTCTATAGTATATAGTAGGAATGCACAGATACCAGTATTTGGTACTCGCCGATAACGAATACCGATACTGGAAGTCATAGTTACATAGTATTTGAGGTTGAATAAAGACATCAGTCCATCAAGTCCAACCTATAGTAGTCCCATTCAGGAAGCCAGGCGGCGTGTAGTGACTCGCCACCTGGCTTCCCGATTAGCACTAGATGACTAGAAAGCATGAAGCTGGCTTTCTGGCCAATTGGGAAGCCGGGCGCTTGGCTTCCTGATTGGCCAGCTTCCGACCAATCAGGAAGCCTGGCAGCGTGTAATGACGCGCTGCCCGGCACCCCGATACCGGAAGTATCCGGCTAGGCATCGGAGCATTTGGACGAGTATGAGTACTCGGCCAAATACTCCCCATGGGCACCGATACTAGTATCGGTGCATCCCTAGTATATAGTACTGTGCACACCAATGTCTGCATGCCCTATGGTTGGACATAGACGGCTCGAAATTCACCAGTTCAGCCCAAGAGAGCAAATCATTTGATTCCCCCATCCATGCTAAACCACATGGATGGGGGAATCTCCATCAGGCTTCCGGGGCTGCCAAAAGGTGACGCCTTCTGATAGGATGCAGTCACTTTTAGGCTGATAATTTATCAAGCCAGGTGGTGCTTGCTGGGCCACTCATGGATCAAATGTTGGCAAATCCAGCAGGAAAGTGAAGTCTCATTCCTCCTCCTTGTTCTTCATAGTCCTGAACCTGCACACGTTCTTATTTGTGACTGAATCTTACAAGGAAATGCCTTAAAGTGACATTAAACCCTCAGATTTTTTAACATAAACCAATACTGTAATGTGCGCCTTACTGTAATCCATGGTAGTTTCCCTTCTCTTTGCTGCTCTTCCTTTTTAAATCCTCATGTCTTCTCATGCTTGAGGAGAACTTCCCTTTGCAGCTGAGTGCCTCTTCCTGTTGTGCTGGCTCAGGTTGTGAACCTTCACACAGACACCGTGTATCCATTCCAGAGACAAGGCAGACAGCTGCAAAACAGAAGTTCTGCCCAGCATGAGAAGACATGAGGATTTAAAAGGAAGAGCAGCAAAGAGAAGGGAAACGACCATGGATTACAGTAAGGAGCACATTACAGTATTGTTTTATGTTACAAAATCTGAGGGTTTAATGTCACTTTAAGGACTTTAAAAAGTGCCCCTTTCAGCTGACCCTTCCATCCCACCCTCCTCCTGCACAGATGCATACTTACCGAGTTCTGATGGGCCGCCCCCCATTGTTTGTTTACCTTCCTTTGCTGACCCCACCTGTGCAGTATTATTATTATATAGGATGTATATAGCGCCAACAGTTTGCGCAGCGCTTTACAATGTGAGGAAGACATTACAATCGCAATACAATTCAAGACAAGATAGTAGGGAGGGCCCTGCCCCTGAGGGCTTACAATCTAAAAGGGAGGGGCCAGTGATACATGAGGAGGGAGCTGTGTGGGGGGATGAATTGTATGAGAACGTGATGGTTCAGTGGTTAGGTTGAGGTGGGATAGGCTTCCCTGAAGAGATGAGTCTTAAGGGATCGCCTAAAGGCAGTCAGAGTGGGAGATAGACTGACAGGTTGGGGTAAAGAGTTCCAGAGGATGGGAGAGACTCTAGAGAAGTCCTGGAGGTGAGTATGGGAGGAGTGGACGAGGGAGCTGGAAAGCAGGAGGTCTTGTTAAGAGCGGAGGGGGCGGTTAGGGTGATACTTTGAGACCAGGTTGGAGATATAGCCGGGGGCAGAGTTGTGGACGGCTTTGTAAGTGGTTGTTAATATTTTGAATTTTATCCTTTGGGCGAGTGGAAGCCAGTGCAGGGATTGGCAGAGGGGGGAGGGGGATGGAAGCCAGTGCAGGGATTGGCAGAGGGGGGAGGGGGATGGAAGCCAGTGCAGGGATCGGTAGAGGAGGGTTGCAGACACTGATCGGTTGGTTAGGTGAATGAGTCTAGCAGCTGCAGTGCATCCCTATTGACTTCTATGGGGCCCTGTCTACTTCTCACTCCCAGATGGGAGATGGCCCCATGGCAGTCTTGGGAATGTACTTCACAGGTGCGGGTAGTGGAGGGGCACTTTTGTTGCAGAATGCACAACAATAATGGAGACTGGGCCTGTTGAATTTGGTAAGTATGGATCTGAGCAGAGGAGAGGGTGGGATTGGTAGGCCCCAAAGGATAAGTGAATTTTGTTTGAACGTACACTTATCCTTTTCTGCCAGTCGGAATGCACTTTCTGGGAATCCCACTTGTCCTATGATGCCAAGTTATAGGCGCCCCTGGAATAGTCCAAATCCGACACTTCTGGGGTTGTTGTGTGCCTACCACTCCCTGCTCCCCAATGCTTCCCAACATTACTACTATGATGGAGATCAGGAGTTGTGACTTCACTTTGATTTTTCCATCTAATGTTTTGCTTTGGATCAGTAACTGAGAAAGTAACAGAGTCCGAGGGGCCGGCCGTAGTGTTATCAGATGGAGATAGTCCCCGTGTCTCTCCCAGTATAGGTTTCCTGTGTAGTAAGGACTGCCATAGGCAGCACATGGCATACTGTGTCGGGTTGTAACGTAGACCTCTCTGTGTCACTTGTAGCTCTCTCAGGATTCCACTGAACAGGAAGTGAATAAGAGCCCCCTAAGTAACACCAGCGAGGTGTCTGTAACCACCGAGAATGCACAAGGACACCATATGGAGAACAATTCCCCCCTCCCCAGCTACAGCCAGGTGAGTCATTGCCTTCATTCCATTCAAGTGAATGGAAATGTGAAAGAGTACCTGTAACCGGACAGATCAATACACTAATGAAGTCACATCTAAGGACGGAAGAGCTGTAATATATCACATTTTTGTTTTTTTTTGTTTTTGATGAGCTTTAAAGAGACCCTGCTATTAAAAAATTGCAGGTAAAAGCACGGCAGAGCAAGTATTTTAAATGGTTCCTTCCTTTCCATGAACCTGCAATGTGCTTCTGAACTTGTATGCAGATTTGACTAGCTACTTCCGCAGCGACGCCTCCCCTCCCTCCTGCCATGTCCTAGCTCTCTCATCTTCTGGGAGTATCTACCGTGTTTCCCCGAAAATAAGACAATGTCTTATTTTTTGGGGGCTCAAAAAAACACACTAGGTCTTATTCTTCGGGGGAGGTCTTATTTTTTTTTTATGTACAACAATCCAAAGTTAACGCAAATCCAATATGGCAAAGTTGAGAATAGGGTGATCAGGGCAATCAGGGGTGCCGTACCTTTCCAAGAGCAATTTGGTAACCAATCGCTGGCCAGAATGAGCGAAACGCACTTTCACTATAGATTCCTCACAGGCGGAGAGCATTTGGTATCACTCCGCCTGTGACAGGAGCCGGCGCTATAGAGGAGGCATCGGCTTATGCGGCTCTGCTCCCTCCGCTGCCGCCTCTCTTCCTCTGGCGCTGGCTTCGTTGGCACCGCTGATTCTCTCCCGTGGCTCTTCAAGTTGCCCCTTATGCTACCACTGGCCTGGGAATGGTCACAACTAGGTCTTATTTTCGGGGTAGGTCTTATATTTTAGCAACTTTCCAAAAATAGTACTAGGTCTTATTTTCGGGGAAACAGGGTAGTTACCTTCTGTGCTGGCCCAGCTCTTCAGCCCCTCACTTTCCTACATAACCTTTTATGTGGCAAAGGGAAATACTAAAGTACAAGGGGTAGACAACCTCAGCACTCCAGCTGTGGTGACACTGCAAATGATGTCATGCCTCGGAGAGTGATGCTTGTGGCTGTCGGAGTCTTGCAAAATGTCATGGGATTTGTAGTTCCTCACCAGCTGGAGTGCCCAGTCTGCTACGGCTTCTGACATCACGTCCAAGATGGCGGCAGCCAGCAGCAGTCTCGGGACTTTAGGATGTCTACACATGGGAGGCTTTTACAGGTAAACAACGTTCATAACATGTTAAATGCTCATATAATCTTATGGGAAGATTTCTGTTGAAATTAATAGCCTGGTGACAGGGTCTCTTTTGAGGGCTGGTGCAGACCTGAGCGATCCGGGAAGGTGCGCCGTGCCGCGGTCATGCACAATTGCAGAAAGCGATTTGCCGCGCGGCCCCCATTGATTTCAATGGGGTTCATCCGCACGTTAATTGCAGGAAAAAGGTACATGTACCTCTTTTGTGCGATACACGAGGCGCGCGGCTGTTTTAGTGTCCGGTTGCACGGGCGGAATGGCGGCAGGAAACCGAGGGATCCGCCCGGCACAACTGGGGTGCCAGTAGAAAATAATGGCACCCGCAGCGCGATCGTCGGTGATGGGCGACTCGCGATCATGGATTACCCAGTTGTGAACCTGGCCTCAAGGTCTATATTTATGTCAATGACCATCCAATACAGAGCTCCCTCTAGTGGTCATTCTCTATATTTAATGCAATAAACGTATTGGCCACTTGAAGGTAAAGCGTGCTATATTAGCTCATTGTCTGCCATCAATAAAGGTACAATGTACATTGTTAACCCTTTAAGCTTTGCTTCCACTGACCTGTCCCTCAACCTGTGTTGTCTCCTCTACAGGCTGCCCCGACTCACATGCCGCCAGACTCCAGGGCTCCATCCTACAACAACAACGACTGCTACAAATTCTCCTTCTCGGAAATCCCCGACCTCAGCTGTTCCTTCCGGAGCCTGTACCGTACATTGCAGGGTAAACGGGGCGAGAGTGGGGGGAGGTAGTGCAGGAAGGTGACCGGTGAGACTTGGAGAGCCCTCGGATTATACCCAGGCCCAAGGCAGTGAAGTTCATTGTAAGCGTTGGAGTCCAAATACCATCCATAATCTCTTTACATCAGAGCAGGAGGACGCCAACACGTTTCGGCTATACAAGCCTTAGTCCTAGCTAAGACTAAGGCTTGTGCAGCTGAAACGTGTAAGCATCTTGTTGCTGTGGCGTACTGGATTTTAAAGCAACAAAGAGGAACTATGGATCATATTTGGACTCCATTGCTTTTACTTACCTGCACAGTCTATGGAGGGTAATGGAAGCCCTGTTACTGAGACCAACATCACGGCTGCAGTGGTGAAGGAGGTACAGCCAAACTTCTTTTTAGGTATTCTTCCAGGAACAAGGCAACTCCAAGAACATTCCAGCTCCATTTCACATTCCGGCCTCATAGATACACTATATTGCCAAAAGTATTGGGACACCCCTCCAAATCATTCAGGTGTTCCGTGACATTTCCTGGCTACTAAATATTCCACGGTCACCTGTTAGTGGTATTATAACATAGTGGAAGCAACTGGGAACAACAGCAACTCAGCCAGGAAGTGGTAGGCCACGTAAAATGACAGAGCGGGGTCAGCGCATGCTGAAGTGCGCAGAAGTCGCCAACTGTCTGCAGAGTCAATAGCTACACACCTCCAAACATCGTGTGGCCTTCAGATTGGCACAACAACAGTGCGTAGAGAGCTTCATGGAATGGGTTTCCATGGCCGAGCAGCTGCATCCAAGCCTTACATCACCAAGTGCAATGCAAAGCGTGGGATGCCGTGGTGTAAAGCGCGCCGCCACTGGACTCTAGAGAAGTGGAGACGTGTTCTCTGGAGTGACGAATCACGCTTCTCTGTCTGGCAATCCGATGGACGTGTCTGGGTTTGGCGGTTGCCAGGAGAACGGTACTTGCCTGACTGCATTGTGCCAAGTGTAAAGTTTGGTGGAGGGGGGATTATGGTGTGGGGTTGTTTTTCAGGGGTTGGGCTTGCCCCCTTAGTTCCAGTGAAGGGAACTCTTAAGGCATCAGCACACCCAGACATTTTGGACAATTTCATGCTCCCAACTTTGTGGGAACAGTTTGGGGATGGCCCCTTCCTGTTCCAACATGACTGCGCACCAGTGCACAAAGCAAGGCCCATAAAGACATGGATGGGGGAGTTTGGGGTGGAGGAACTTGACTGGTCTCCACAGAGTCCTGACCTCAACCCGATAGAACCCCTTTTGGGATGAATTAGAGGGAGACTGCGAGCCCCTCCCCCATCATCAGTACCTGACCTCACAAATGGTCCAACATTCCCATAGACACACTCCTAAACCTTGTGGACGCCTTCCCAGAAGAGTTGAAGCTGTTATAGCGGCAAAGGGCGGAGCCAACTCAATACTGAACCCTACGGACTAAGACTGGCATGCCATTAGAGTTCATGTGCGTGTAAAGACCGGCGCCCCAATACTTTTGGCAATACAGTGTATATGGATCCACAAGGCCCTGTGTTTGTACCACTATGGCTACCTGCAAACCTCGTGCTGCAAAGTCCATTTCAATGTATTGTATAAGCCGAGAGGAGGTGTATTTCATGAAAGGATAACTATACTTTTCTATAGGATTGTGGAGGCTGCCAACGCTGAACTCTCCTTTCCTGGCTGTCATGTTGATACTTTGGCTTCAGCGCTGTCTGAGTCTCTGACCTGGAGCAAGTCTAGAGATAAGGAATTGTGACATATCTCGGATACTTGTTTTAAATCATGCTTGTTCCGGGTCTGTAATTAATTTGGGGATTCCCATAAAGCTCTTGAACAGTCTTCACGGTCGGGTAGCAGTAGGTTAGTCTTCACAGAATCGGCTAGTAACAGGTTCACCCATAGAATAGCAGCTAGTGAACTGTAGGAGGTGTATGCTCACTTTCCAGGGTGTGACTCTCTTCTCTTTATCCCCAGGGCTCTCTCCACTCCCCACTGATGTACAACAACCACCACCTCCACCACCACCTTCCTCCAGTTGCTGTATGTACCAGCAGAATTCGGGGGAGTCCTCACTGCACCCCCACACTGTCCCCAGCATCAGCAACCCCTCATCTTCTCACCATCAAGCCCAGCACCAGCAGCAGCCGCCCTACCTACCCTCCCCGCAGATGCCCCGGCCAGCTGCCCCCAGCATGCCTCTGGGTGAGTCTCTGGTGTCCTGCTGTGCAAGGACCGTCAATTATACCGGCTTCAAAAACTCACACACGTCTTCTCTGTATATTCCATCCAGGACTCCCCAGCGACTGGTGTTCCAACATCGACTCACTGAAGGAGAGCTTCAAGATCGTCAGTAATCTGGACTGGTCCACCGTGGACCTGTCCCAATTCTCAGGTGAGTGAAAGTACTAGAGAGCTCATTGCACTCTCTAGCAAGACGTAAATAATAGAATGAACAGGATGCATAAAATATGATCCTAGAACAGCTCTCTGTTACCCTCTGTGTTTGAAGGGCACCAGGTGGCCTATTGGAAAAGATAGTTCAATGACAATTGTCTGCCTCCTATATACTCCCTGTTCATTTTCGGCTTCATATTCTCACTTTGAAGTACAAATGAACCCTTTACCCCCTTTCACCAAAAACCACATCAGTGTGCAGCTCTGCATGCTGATTTAAAATCATCTCACATTCATTCGTTAAACTTGTTTTTCATTTGCTTACAAATAGAGCTCCTCTACTTCCTGGTCCACGTCTGGCACAAATGATGTAATGTGCCCAAGTGTGGCATGCTGGGAAGGTGACATCAGCAGAGCATTGCTGGGAAATCTCATCTGTAATCTCACGAGATCTCAGGGAAAGGCAAATTCCTCCCCTGAGATGATGTGCATGGTCCCATGTCCTAGTCACATGTGCCAGAGTTCCAGGAAGTAAAGGGAGTTCTAGTAATCTGCCCTTAGTTAACATGGCCACTGTCGGAAGAGGAGAAGAAAAGAGAAATATGTTATGCAAAGCCGGCAATGATCTAGAAGTATGTGTGTGTAGATTGTCATCACTAAACATTTCTAAAGGTGTGTTTGCTGTTATTTTAAATATACGGGTAATGTTCCTCTTTAAATGATATATTCTGACAGTCCTATTTGAGGCCTTGTGCAAGCCTTAAAGGAACACTTCTGACCCATTGATGCATAAAATTGTGTGCAGAGTGAAGCATATACATACCCCCAACTTTTCGAGATGAGAAAGAGTTGCACCTATTAGTATGTAGGCCTAAGGAACCCCCTGCCACACCCACAGTTACCGAGATCCGGAAGAACTAAAGCTAGGGAAATCTCAAAACTACCCTTGTAGTGGAGCTCTCCCAACATTGAAAGGGTTAAATGCTCTATTTGTTTTTGGGTTCCGTTAAAAAGCAGTTTCACTTACCTTATGCCTTGCTCCCCCAGCAGCCAGTGCTGTCCTCTGATGCGCCAGGTTGTGGTCAGGCCCTCGGCATCCTCACAGTGCTGGTCCTGCATTGTACGTGATAATGTCTGAGTGCCTGTGACCAGGGCCGGATTTACTCTCCCTGCTGCCCCAAGGCCAGGTTCCTTAATGCACCCCCACCTAAACGCCAAACCCCCCCCCCCCTTCATGGAGAAGAATGGCAGACCCACCGGCTGCATACGAGTGATCTCTGCGACATCACCGAGATCACTTGTACAAAACAAGCCGTGGCTTCCCTGCTGTAAATTTAGCTCTGCTTGCCCAAAGCCGGGCTAAATGTAGAAAACTGCCTGCCCAGGAATGCCACACCCCTGCTGCCCCAAGGTCGGGCCTTGTGGGAAATCTGGCCCTGCCTGGGACCAATGGAACATCGAGAAGTGGCTTCAGGGGGACCAGTCCTGGAGAGGAAGAGACTGCAGGACATGTGGTTTTAGGGTCTAGGCACTCAGGAGGCACAAAGACTTCTGGGTAAATGTTATCTTTAAATTAGCATTTCACTGCTGAAGAGCACCAGGAGGCTGAAACAGTAACCTCCAGAGAGCAAAGCGCCACATAAAATCAGCGCGCATATACTTAGTACTTCTACTTATCCAGGAGGTTCTGATCTGGCCAATGGACTCTCCCCACAATACCTTGGCTGGGGATGCTTCGGAATTAGCATTGCGGTATTCTAGTTGTCACCCGATCCTGCCAGGTGACGATCATCACATCTATGGGCACATTTAGCTGCAGGACATTGAACAGATGAAAAAAAGTAAGCATGATTTTTGTCTTTGGTCCCCAGACCTCATGGAGAGCCTGCGCCAGGCCGAGCTAAAGAACTGGAGCTTGGACCAGCACCACATCGCCAGCCTGTGTGACTCGTTATCCCATCTGCTGAGCCACACAGGTCTCCTGCCACCCACACATGGCCAGACACCCTGCCAATCTCCTTGTATGCCCCCCACCACCAGCAGTTCCTGTGCACTTCAGGGAGCCAAGCCTGGGCACACCATGGCAGGTGAGCGGAGGAGGAGGGAGGGCGGTAGATCTGGTGTGCTGATTGGTACCACATCTTTGAGACAAGAATTTATGTGTGGCCAGTTTAAGATTGTCCGTTGGCAGGAAGACTTTAACCAAGAAAAAATGGGTTGACAGGGGGCAGCGGGTCCTTCACCATGAACAATGGCCTGTGATAGATCCTCCAACTCTCACCCCAGTCACTTACCCGCTTGTATAATGTTTACTGTGAGCAGAAGTCGCACATTATACCAGCGGGTACTGAATGTGACTGGGATGAGACATAGAAGATCTTTCACAGCCCATTGTTCTTGCTGAAAGACCTTCTGCCACTTTTCAGTCCATTGTTCTTGGAGAAAGACCTTCTGCCCTTTATCTATGGGCCCATGTTCACACTATGTTGGATGAACTATGTCTGGCACTCGCCTTCCCTTATCCTACTGGAATATGACCAATGGGTTCCCTTGTTAGGAAAAACTGCAACTGATATGGACATTATATAACCCAACATTGCTTTCCCTCCCCAGTGGCCTCCTATGGACAGAATCCGCCAACGCCAGTGTCTTGCGTTCATAATTTCACTGCACCACCCGGATATCCGATCCACACTCAAGCACCACCACCAACATACAGTCAGCAAGGTGAGAGATCATACTGCTAAGGACTCACTTATTATGTTCACTTTCAAGGATCTAGCCAATGTGACTACAAAGCCTATAGCAAGCCAACCCCAACAAAGCTTAGAGGAAAATAAAGTTTATCTAAGAGTAAAATTCCTCCTCCCCTGTGACTGGGCAGTGAAAGAAGTAGTAGCACACTGATAAACCCATTTCTCTGTCACTCTGCTATCTCATCCTATAAGCATGTTTCTTGTCAGCACATGAGCACGGCTGCGTGGCTTTTCTCTCCCCCCAGTCGGTATCAGCAAGATGCTGATTTCAGTACTTACCCAGCTTGCATTTAAAAATGTATTTGTTGATCTATCAATGTTGCTACTGAGAGCTGTCAGCCAGAAGGCATCTGCCTGTCCTCATAGGCATACAGTAGTCAGCCAATCTGGCTGGAAACAACCAGCAACTTCTGTCTCATGTCTGTAGGTCGCTCCAAGCCATATGTGCAGATCCATTAGTGCCCACGCTGTCTTTGTGCTTACTATTAGACATCTAAGCTGCAGAAACTTTTGGCTCGGAAATTTCTGAATTCAAATCCGAAAATCAATTCGGTTCGGGTTTCGGATTCGGACGAAGTCGAATTTTCGTTAGTTCCGGATGAGTTTACAAATATTCGTTGCGAATACCACAGAAAACCGTACACAGATATTAATACTGAAGCTGAGGCTCCGAGACCCCAATTGCATTCAGGATCCGAATACCATTCAGGAGCTCCAGAAAGCAATACGGGTCTGGGAGCCATATACAGTATATACATATAATACTAAAGCTGAAGCTCCCAGACCCGAATGCCATTCAGGATCCAAATTTCAGAATTGCATTCGGGTCTGGGAGTCTCAGGTGTAGTACTATATGTATGCACTGAACACAAATTTTCGTTACGGCAACATGGGAGCCATTTACATATAATACTAAAGATGAGGCTCCCAGACCCGAATGCAATTCTGAAATTTGGATCCTGAATGCCATTCGGGTCTGGGAGCCTCATCTTTAGTATTATATGTATATACTGTATATGGCTCCCATGTTGCCGTAACGAAAATTTGTGTTCAGTAAATACATATAGTACTTCAGATGCATTAAACCGGAAAACACATCTGATTGGCCAGAAAAGTCACATGTCCGATAGTTTTGTTTTTAAACCAAATTCGGACGGGATCTGAAATTCAGGAAACGGAAATTTGGATGCATTGGAATCCGGAAATTCGGATGTCTGAATTTCAGAATTTTGATTCGGAACGAAACGAATCTCACATGTCTACTTACTTTCATGAGGCATAGCTTTGGTGGCTTGCTCAGCATAGCTCCCGCCTTAAACCTGGGCTCAGTACCCTTAAGGTGCCCATACACTGCACAATTATCGTACGAGAATCGTGGGAAATCCCGCGATCGTACGATAATCGTTTCTACTGTACGGTCGCATGCCTTCCGTCGAACCAGCATGCTTGAAAACCCGCCGGAAATCGTACGATTCTCGGTGGGTTAGTGGCCTGCTTGTTCGACACACTGCCCGTTTGCAGTCATCGGAAGCCCCGCCCCTCATTGCAGTCATCGGACGCCCGCCCCTCATTGCAGTCATCGGACGCCCGCCCCTCATTGCAGTCATCGGACGCCCGCCCCTCATTGCAGTCATCGGACGCCCGCCCCTCATTGCAGTCATCGGACGCCCGCCCCTCATTGCAGTCATCGGACGCCCGCCCCTCATTGCAGTCATCGGACGCCCGCCCCTCATTGCAGTCATCGGAAGCGTACGATATGCCTGTCCAAGATGGGCAGATCGTACGTTTTTAAAATTACTTTACAACTCTTGCAAGACAAAAGTCTTGCGAGGGTGGTAAAGTGTATGGCCACCTTTTAGACTGCCTAATCTCTCAGGATGCAAATTTTTTATAGTTTGACTATACATGAGCGGTTCTGGGTGTGCTATGGGGTATAAAGCAATGGATTGCATGGCTCCACCCACTACCTGAAATGAGGAGTCATCTTTTTTTTATTGTGGGGGTGTGTGATGGAATGAGATATGTGAATACCTTCCGTTCTGAGAAGGCTTTACCATGCTACGAAGTGATTCGGCTGGAGGGCTTTTTGATTGCTTTAGTCACCATAACCTGTATGGTTCTACTGTCTCCTTACAATTAACAAAGAAACCCTTATGGCAGAATTCAGAATTGTATTTTAGGGGCTCTGTGTATATTTAATGTTCCGATCACATATTCGGTGTTTACGATCTCTGGACAAACTCATTCATGACCATGGCGGCTTGCTGAGCAGATCTTCTGCATTATCAGGTGCCTTCCTGTATTAGTTTTACATTGTGAATGTGTCTTCTGGGCCAAGCCCTGTCCGGCTGTCTTCCTCTACTTCAGACCACTGTTACTTGACAAAGGTGAGTGAAGCTTAGGCGAGGCCCTATAGTAACACAGTGAATCTAAATCAGAGAGGGCCACCTAAGAAGGGTTTCTGGCAAAAAAAAGGGGTGACACCAGGCCATTGTGATAGCTGCTCTTAGGGAAGACTAAGGTTTAAAGCCTTGATTCTCAACTGGTGGGTCGTGACCCAAAAGTGGGTCGCAACCCCGTGTCCAGTGGGTCACCACGTGCCTTCCACTTTTCTAGATGAAAGGCTCCTCAGCCTCCCCCTAGCGCAGCACTGTCAGTACGGGCACCGAGCAGCCATTCAAAATATGTTATGCGGCACCGAGCGTCGACTTGAGGTGAGGTGGGCTGGGGCTATGGCCGCGTGGGAGCTCCATCCATTCTGGTGTGGGAGGTGTGTTGCATTGCCGTTCATTAGAATGGCACCCCTAACGCACTTCCCACCCAGCGTTCGATCGCCTGCACCGGACAGCGCAGTACCGCAAGGCCGTGCAACTTGGGTAGCGACTTAATGACTGAGGACAAATGTGGGTCCTGAGGTTACACAGGTTGAGAACCAATGTTTTAAAGCACTGAAAGCTTATAAAAGGAAAACAATGCAATATATTTATGACTTTAGGAACCATTTAAGGACCAGGCCTTTCTGTCTTTCCCCCTGCAAATACTGAGGCTGATTCACAACGATGGTTGGGGAAAAAAAAGTGTTGAAGTTTCCCAGACCATCCGATGAAGTGTTATCCAAAACCGGGGGTGGGCAACCTTGGCACTCCAGCTGTGGTAAAATCCCACCATGACTCTGCGGCTGTCAGTCTTTGCAATGCCTCATGGGACTTGTACTTCCACTACAGCTGGAGTGCCGAGGTTGCCTACCACCATCTGGAATGAAGTCTGAGCAGTTGGTCCACACACGCTTTATTGATAATGTTTTAGAGCACAGGCTTCCTTCTTTTAGGGGGCAGCGTCACGATTTGTGCTGATTTTATTTCTGTCTACACAGGTCGCCATCCTCCGCGAACTCTGTACCCACCATCCCGTCCGCCAATGCGCCATCCGCACAACGACGAAATTGAAGATACCTTTGACTGGGACTCTATCGCTTAGGACCTCGGCCCTCCCGCTACCCTCAGGGGGTTACTGCAAGCCCTCCAACTGTACAGACATATAT